TGATTCATTTAAAATAGACCTAAGTTTAAGTTTTTATATTTTTGTAACGTTTTTGATTACAATTCTAGGATGATTATTTTACAGGTAAGGTGGCATTTGTCCAGCTTGCTGACCTCTTGAATATTGAAATAATAACAATTAAGTCAAGACCTCATCCACTTCAAAGTTTGTGCCCTTCCCTCTACCAGTCAGCCCCCAGCAAACTCCTATGCAAACTGGTCCAACACCGGTAAGATACAAATTCCACTTTGAAACCTTATTTTTTTTCTCTGATTTTGATGTAAGTAGTTACAAACACAGTTACAAATATGTGTTCTTTTCCAGGGCCTTTGTTATGGTATATGACCTGATCATACTGGTGAATGCTGTTTTCATCGGTCTTGATGAGGAGAATCCAATGATTGCGAACTCAGAGTGGGTTTTTCTGGCTCTGTATATTCTGGAGATTCTGCTGAAGCTGTATGTGTTTGAGCCCAGAGTGTTCTTCTCCAAACACAGTTTTTGGAACTGGTGAGAACAAGTGTATAACATTATAACGTCATTAATGTGCTTTTGACACTTCGTCTTTACTCACCAAAGATTCTGAATCCCCAGTACTGATTTATCTACAGACAGCTTAAGGTACATTTTAACAGGTGTTCATGTGGAATCAGAGATCCAGACATTACACAGCACCATCTATTCAAGCTTTTTCAGTGAGGCAGATGGTTTAAAAAACAAAAAAAATCTACTGTGCAGATCAAAACCAACAGTGTAATCCAAGTCTGCTTGCTTAATACACAAACCCTTACGTAGACATTTATAAATTAACATGTACTGTATTTGTGTGTTTAATTTCTTAAAATATGTAAAATATATTTTGGATGGAAGTATTTAAATGAATCAAATCTAAGATCAACAAGTTGTGTTGCATGAATTTCACACAGCTTATCTACATCCCAGATTATAAGTACAAGGTATGTGACATGATTTAATGTTTCTTTTACATTATCAGCCGCTTCTTTTACCTTCATACGCCTTCAAGTGCTTCGACCAAGTCACTGATGCTCAGCGGGTTGTTTATCTACTCTTTTAAGCTTTGGGAAGTGAACTTTTCCTAATGATGGAGCTTAGTTTAATGTCAAAAGTAAAAACAAAATATCTCCAAAAGTTGATTCTGTTCATCTGGACGTAGCGATTTGTGGGAGAAACGTTTCATCACTCATCCAAGTGACTTCTTCAGTCATCACTTGGATGAGTGATGAAACGTTTCTCCCACAAAACGCTACGTCCAGATGAACAGAATCAACTTTTGGAGATTTACTTTCCTGGATGATTGAGAATGCATCAAGCCGTAAAAACAAAATATGTTGACGAACATAGGATAAAGGATAAAACTAAACAAGTGCTCAATAATGAGAAATATAATAATAAAACAAAAAATAATAATATATAACAAAAACCAGCAACTGGCTTACTTGGGTTATGCAAGTTATATAAAGCTTAAAGTTCAATAGAAATTCTACAAAGACAACTTCAAGTGATGACACTGGGAAATCTGATTGTGTTTGAATAGTGTGTGAAGGACAGTTCAGCAATTTAAGAACAACAAGAATTGGACAGACTGAAAAATCTTTGTACACAAGGGACATTTCTATATTGAATATTGAAAATCACCATCATTGAATTCAATCCACAAATGTGCACATTTGTAGACCTTTTCTGAACTTCAAATGAACTTCAGTTCGGTTTAATCAGAAAAAGTGAAAATATTAGTTTTTGATGTAATTGATAAACCTAAAGCAGGCAGATCCACTCACAACTAAACTGAAAAGAAAAGCTCAAAACAAAACATGGTAAAATGGTACAATGTACAAAAAATGTTAAAAACTACAATTTTAATCTTCTATTAAAAAAAACAAACTCAACTTTCAGTTAAATTTAGTTTATATTACAGTGAGGAACATCAGTATTTGAACACTCAAGTTCTCCCAATTAGAAATCATGGCGGGGTCTGAAATTCACATTGTAGCGCCACTGTGAGAGACAGCATTTGAAAACCAATTCAGGAAAACACATTGTATGATTTTTTTTTTAAAGAATTTATTTGTGTTGCACATAAGCATTTCAGCTCTTTGGTCTTGCCCATGGTAGTAGTTGGAGTCTGACTGACTGTGGGACAGGTGTCTTTAAAGAGCTCAGACAGGTGCTACTAATTTAGATTAATAAGTGGAGTAGAGGTGGACTTTTTAAAGGCATAGCAACAGGTCTTTGAGAGCCAGAATTCTTGCTGATTGCCTGGTGTTCAAATACTTATGTGCAGCAGTGCAATACAAATAACCTACAATGTGAATTTCAAACCCCTCCATGATTTCTAAGTGGGAGAACTTGCAGGGTGTTCAAATACTTATGTTCCTCACTGTATTTGCCAGTTAATTGCCTCATTTTCATGGCTTTTTGCACTTAGTGGCCACTTTATTGGGTATGATATTATTGTGCGTGTGTGTAGAATGACAATAGATTTGTCTTTAGGTCCATCTTGGTGCACCTAATAAAGTTGCCACTGGGGTTTTAAGCTCTGATCCTTCTGAAGGTTTCTTGCTGCAGCTTTTGAAATAGTTTTTGTCTTCATTGTTTCTTATGCTATCATTTCTTTTTTACAGTAGTGTTACATGTGCTACTGAGCAGTGTAGCTACGATAACTTCAGTCAAAAAAATATTCAGCATTGTGTTTGTATATTTTCTGGATGAATTGCTAGACCTGGATCCAGTCCATGAATGAAAGCTGCTTGTTTGCTTCCACACTCTGCAGCCCCCTGCATGTGCTTGTTAGTTTTAATGTTCCTTAAATTTGAAATACTTGGATAAGAATACAAAAGATAAAATCTTTTGATTCTTTTACAACATGAAGATTTTCTCACACTTAACTGATGCTGAGAAAAAGGTCGTTTTATTTACATTCATGGTATATTTGTGTTTTGTGACACGTTGGTGGTGTCAGACTGACGCCATAAGAAAAAAGGGTTTTGTTTTCAGCATCTTCGTTCATCGCATTTCTGCCTAAATTAAAGTTTGATTTTTTTTTTATTTCTGTTTTCTGTCTTCAGGTTTGACACAATCATTGTCATCTCTGCTCTTATTGCCACCACCGTAAACTCTGTGATGAAGTCATGTAAGAGTTTCTAATTAATGTTAAGCTTTGTTCCAACAGGGTCAAAATCAAGGTCAAACTTAACCCTCGCCAAATTTACATCTGGCTGGCA